TATATATATATATATATATATATATATATATATATATATAATGAATTGGTATATTAACCTCCATGATTTAGCATGAATTTGTACTACTCAACACTTGAACAAAATGATCTGTACATTTAGACGTACCTACTCTTCTTATCTAATTCTCTTGTAAAAACAAAATAACACATACCGATTGCACTTAAACATTCATAGTATTGTTGACCTGCGGACGAAACAGCTATTAAGTGCTCAGTCCGAACTGTCAAAATCGTAGGCTATGTCATGAGATTGTTTTCATGGATCCTAATTACTAAACAGTTTGCCAAAATTCATTACGCTGATTGAGATTTTGTTTTACCATCACGATACAGAAATGTGTTTGATTTGTATAACTACTTGAATAACTTTTAGAATTGTCTGTGCTCTTGGGACTCTGTGTTCATCAGCAACACAGGATTGCAAATTAAACCATGCATTTCAAACGCTAAGTAGAATTATGTACAACGATCGCTCGAATTGGGAACGTTATTAATTGATTTCGACACTAAGCTGTATAATTTTCATTACGGTGATAAATATCCGACCTCTCCGCCCTTGCTGAACTCACATAAAATATATTAACTTATATTAAATAACGCGGTATATTACAAACGTAATATTATTAGTTGCATCCTTTTATAAATTATTGTTGTCAACGATATTCTTTCTTCTTATAATATCTTTTGACTTTCGTTTCAAAGTGACATCATAGTCATCGAGCGGGTTGAGTATAAAGATTGTAGCTACGCACTTCATCACTATCAATCATCGATGAAGGCTCACGATTAATGTAGGTTCAAAATTAATTATGTTGTGAGCTTGCGAGAGAACCACTTTAAGATTCTCCAGAAATAATGCTTGATTGTTCATTTAGATTAATTACATTGTTGATGAATTAAGATTATCATTTCGCTCTTGAGTTTTCACGGGTTTTGACATGGTTAACGCCGAAGATTGTTATTGTTACTTCATACTAGGCCTATACTTTATCCAATGCTGGTGACTAATGGACACTTTCTCTGAGGTAAACATACACAATTACCTTATGTAGCTTGGAGGAATATGTAAAGTGGAAAAATAATTTCTATAGGGAAATCCTTAATCACACGGAGCTGTTCACGGAGAAATTGAAATGGAATTTTCCAAACCCTCGAAAAATTCAACATGTTTTACGTGCACACAAGACTTACACTAGAGCAACTTATCACGTTAATACATACGCGCATGCGCGTCGATTATACGTATTCGTGAATGCGTCTAGATAATTTGATTTAGCGTGAGCCAGGCCTTATTCAAAATGTAAAGGCGTTGATGGTTTTCCTTCTTTTCATTATATTAATGATGATCCATGCGTCTGTTGTGATCTCTGCTGTTGTAAGGCTGTAGGCCTATATCATTGTGTTTGGTTTGGAATTTCTGGAAAATGTTGTAGTGTCGACCACCTGACTTGGTGGGGCTTTGATGAAATGAAGCTTGCGAATTGAATCCGAAAGGAAGTTAGGTAATTACATGGAAGGTGTCATATGTAGTTTGGCCAGGAAACAGTGAAATTACAGTTTGGCCCCCTGAATTCTCTCCTCAGAGACTAAATTCATACGGTAGTTAATACGGCCGATGGGCAAGAATTAATAATAATAATAATAATAATAATAATAATAATAATAATAATAATAATAATAATAATAATATGATTATAATAATGATAAATACAAAAAAAATAATAATTTCAAACCGAAGTTGATGTTCATTTTTGAAGGCCTAACTGTATAATGCGTTAACTCTCTCTCTATATATATATTCAATTTGAATATTTATATTGATCATAACAGGCCTGTATAGCACTGTATATGTGAATGTTAGCACTTAACTATATAATGACATAATAGATTGGATATGATTATGATGATGAGGGAAATACTATACCGTACTGATGGAGAAACCTGCAATGACATGGCGAAAATTACTACTGAGCTCTATAGAGTATTTACATATTAATACTATCTTAGGTATAATATCCATATTGGT